TGACAGCCATATAGCCTTTCTAGGCCTCACTGTCTTTACCCATAAAATGAAGCAGAAAGACCACTAAGTTCTAAAATGCTATGATTTCTTATACAACTTTTGATTAATATCATACATAAGCACACAGATTGTATATTTTGAAATTGCATTTTAATGGTTCAGAACTTGTAGTTTACGCTACCTTTAAGAAATGATTACAGAGAAATTCTAGAATACATTTTTTTTTTTTTTGACAAACCAATCTCGGTAGTGTGAATTTATAAAATTTCTTATTAAAGGAAATTATGTTGTTGTTGTTAGTTGCCATCAATTCTGACTCATGGTGACCCCATGTGTGCATGGTAGAACTGTTCCATAGGGTTTTCAGGCTGTGATCTTCCAGGCCTGTCTTCTGAGGCACCTCTGGGTGAGTTCAAACTCTGGGCTAGTAGTTGACTGCATAACTATTTGTGCCACCCAGGGACTCCAAATGAAATTATAGAATACCTCATTTTTATAGTATTATGGATTCCTGTTGCTTTTCAGAGAGAAATCAATGTTCAAACCTTACAACTTTCTAACCATTTCTTTTGCCACTTGGGTAACAGTTGCTTTGTCAGGGACAACAAACATTCCCATTCTTCCTGGGAGGTAGAATCTCTTCTCATATTATCACTTGCTTTCTCTAAATGCTAGAGAATCACAGCTTAACTACGTTTTTTCCTCAATAAAAACTGAACATAAATTCTAGCTATCTCTCTCCTCCACCCATTTTTCACATGCTGTCACATCAATGGTTTTTGGAGCAGAGCCATAATTAGTCCATCTTCTGCTTAACCACCTACTATACTGCACTCTCCACCTTCTCACCTCCGCAGTATAATTGTTGGCTCTACTTCCTCATCTCCCATTTGCTCTCCAACCCACCACAATAAGATTGTAATTCCTCCCTGTCAGTCTGCCGAATGTTGACAACGACCTCTCTATTTTCAAATCTCTCCATAATTTCTGCATTCTGTTGAATCACCTTTCTTTGGAATGGGTACAAATATGGATCTCTTCCAGTCAGTTGGCCAGATAGCTGTCTTCCAAATTTCTTGGCATAGACGAGTGAGTACCTCCAGCACTGCATTCATTTGTTGAAATATCTCAATTGGTATTCTGTCAATTCCTGGAGTCTTGTTTTTCTCCAT